TATGTTTCCGCTCTGTCCTTCAACACAGTGCATACACACACACGCAGAAATATATATACATGTGTGTGTGTGTGTGTGTGTGTGTGTGTGTTGTATTCTGTGTTTCTTAATCATTTCCACCCCCTAGTGTTGGCTTTGACGCTGCTTTTCCACACCTGCAGCTCAGGAAAACAGGAGCAGATTTTTTTCAAGTTATGTAAAGTTTTTTTTTTTCTTCATGCAGAGATCAAGTCAGTTCTGTTTGTGCGTCTCAGATGAACTAAAGACAGATCTCCTCAAAGGACGAAAAAAGTTTTTACGAAAAAATATTTTTGGGGAAAAAAAAAAAGGCTGTATATGAAAGCCACTAGATGGCAGCCTTGCAGCTAATTTTAATAATCAGTGGATTGTTTACAGAACGCTGGTGCCAGAAACTCATACAGTGGTTTGTACAGATAAATAAACAAATATTACCAGGCGTTCAATAGTATTTTAATTTCATCATGTCAGTGAGCAGACAGACCTGAACTTCCACCACTGACCCAGTTGACATTGGAACTTAAGTGTTTGGACAGTATCGGCGTGTTAGATCCCTGATATAAAGTCAACATTAAATGATCAGGAAGTGTGTTTGGTCTCAGGTAAATGTTTAAATATGTTAAATATCCGGCTTCATTTCTTCATTTCTTTATTTCCTGCGGTGGCGCGAACACAACCCAACATGTTTACATCCCATCCTTCCTTTCCTTGTTTCCTTGTCTCCCTACCTCATGACCATAAGAACTGGGGAAGGAAGGAAATGACGTGTCTGAAAAAGCAGAATCTCTCACACACACACTCTCACACACTCACATACAGGATGTGAGGCCGAGTCAGTGCTGGTTTGTTTTGTCAAAGACTTGAAAATGGATTGACGGGACTGAACCTTCGGTAGGTTTTCAGCTTTAACTTCAGTCATTGGTTCTGTTACCTTTCAGTACAGTTTCTGTAGAATCACAGTCAGGCTGCGTAACCCTGCACTGGACGTAGGTGATGATTTAATTTAATTAACAAGACTTTCAACTAATTATTATTGTGTGTTACTTGTATATAAAGAGCTAAGTCGTCTGCATAGAGACAGAGACACAAAAGACAGTTTTGTTCCCAGCTCCTGTACTGGATGTTGTTGATGCTTCGACCTAACATTACAATAGTGGTTATGACATATTTAATTTTAACATTTTAACAAAAAGAACCCAGATTTTTCATTCCCTCTGTTCCTTCTCTCCCTGTAGCTACTAGTTCAGCCCACCTGGAAGACCTAGCCTACCTGGATGAGCAGCAGAGACACGTTCCCTCAAGGACCTCCCTCAGAATGCCCAGACAGAATTCTGGGAGTCGTAGTCAACAGGATCACAGAGGTCAGTACCCAGAATACCCTGTCAAACGTTACATAGTTGAAGATTTGACTTCATCTTCTTCCTGTTTTTTCCTCCACAGTTCGCTTCACTCCGTCTCTCAACCTGAAGTGTTTACACTTTGAGGTTCCTGGTCTCTCGTCTGATTGGCTCTTCACTGGGAGGGAGTGGCTCTTCCAGGAAGTTGATGCCAGCCTCGGCAGCGACGACCCGACGACCAGTCGGGGTGTTTTGATCATTGGGAACATGGGCTTCGGTAAAACAGCCATCATCGCTCGTCTGGTGGCGCTGAGCTGTCACGGACACCGGATGTCTGCCGGGAACCACAGCGCCGCCAAACGTAAGCAGAAAATGTAAACGTATTTTTATGAAATAATGAATCCAGGTTGTCAGTAGAAATGATCTACTGACTGGAACCACGGCTTGAATCTCAGATGGTCCTCAGTTGAATTCTTTCCGTCACTTTATGACTTCATCATCAACTGATTCTGGACAAACACTGTTCTCCCTCCGCTCCATAATCATTTTCACTGCTCTCTCGGTGTAATAGTGTATTCTTTGTATTTGTTTGGCCGCTGTGAGGAATGTTTCAGATTTTTTGGCAGCAGACTCTGCAACAGTTCTCTCCAGAGAACTCCCTGTGAGTTCCTCCAGCTACGAAGACGACCTCACTCGCTCTCAGAATCTGCTGAGTCATCGTTCAGAATCCAACCAGACTCAAGTCTCAACCAAATCTCCATTAGACAACAACCACAGAGAGAGGAGAAAAAAAGTCTGTCTGTGTCTCTGTGACATCAAATGAAGATGAATTTTTTTTGTTTGTTTTTGGTTCTCGTCCCAAAACCAGATGTAGTGCCTGGTTCTCTTTCCAACAATTCTTTGGGAAGAGGAGGAGGGAGAGGAGGTGGCAGAGGAGATGAGGAGGGAGTAGGAAGCTGCCCAGGAACTCCAGAGACGAGGAGGAGGCAGGAGGAGGTGTTGAGGAAGCTGGCAGGACAGGTGAGTGTTCCTGCGGTTCTACTGTACGACAGAACCCATAAAAGAGTCGGGAAATGTTCCAGCGCTGACTGAGCCCAAGTCAAGTGGCTGGAAGACAAACTCCTCGTACAGTAACAGCGTGGATCTGGGTTTTTATGATCCAGGTCCGTGATAACACGTTACTGTAGACGATAAAAGCTGCACAGAGTGATTTCCCAGCTGCAGCCTTGACGGCTGTATTTCAGACGTGAGGTAACCTGCCGACAGCTGGTTGGCTGAAAACATGGACCTGCTGCGATTGTTAGAGTTTATAGAAAAAGAAGGTGAACGACATTTTTAAAATCATGCAACAGGAAGTCGCTTTGGTTGTTTTGGTTCCCTATCGAGTTCAAAAAGGTCAATTCTCATTCAGTGGAAAAAAATGTTATTTAAAAAAATAATCCAGTCATAATCTAGTCCCTTTACTGTTTTCATTCAAAGATAATCTATCAAGGTTTCAACAACAGGTCAAAGGTCATTCAGACTCTGATACTAACAGAATAAATTCTAAAAGATGTTTTATTTTGAAAATGTAATGATCCTTCAAAGATGGCGTGGTATCACCGGTCCGCAGTAACTTCTGATACTTGGTACAAACAAGGATCAGGACCGCTGTGATATAAGGAATGAATGATTTTCAATGATTTCAGGTTCTTCCAGAAGACGTTGGTTCCACAGAGCTGTCTCTCTCGTCCGTCTCTGCAGGTCGTCTCCTTCCACTTCTGTCAGGCCGATAACTGTTACACGTGTCTGGTTCCGGAGTTTGTGCACAACATGGCAGCCATGCTCAGTGAAGCCCCCCAGCTGCTGGCCTACAGAGAGCTGCTGCACCAGTCGCCGCCGCTACAGAGCATGCTCAGTCTGCGCTCCTGCATCCAGGACCCGAGCTCGGCGCTGCAGAGAGGAATACTGGAACCACTGGACGCTCTGTACAAAGGTACAGGACGGGTCTTTAACCACCGTCTCCTCTGTGACGACCAGTCCAGTGTGTAATCTGTCGTCCCACGCTGTCGTTCCAGAGAGGAAGCTGAACGTGGAGGGGGCGGGGCTTATCATCCTGATTGATGGCTTGAACGAGGCAGAATTCCACCGCCCGGACTACGGCGACACGTTGACTTCCTTCCTGACCAAAAATGTCCTGAAATTTCCTTCCTGGTTGAAGATCATTACCACCGTCAGAACCAGCCAGCAGGTGGCGTTACTGCAGCATTTAGAAGAAAAGAAAACTAACATCAAAATACAGTTATATGTGTTTGTTTGTTCGTCTGACACAGTTGTCTGGTTTATTTTATCCAATCAGGACACCACGCTGTCGCTACCTTTTCACCACATCTCTCTGGACAAGTTGGAGGAGAACAGCGCCATAGACCAGGACCTGCAGGTCAGTACTGCACACACACACGTGCTAACAGCTGTAGCCATCTGGTGGCTACAGGAAGTAGCTCTGCTGATATTCACGACTACTGCAGTACTTCTTAGTATAACAGAAACCTGATAGTTCACCTGTGGGTCTTCTTCTCTACATCCTGATCCTGATCCTGGTCCTGGTCCTGGTTCTGGTTCTGGTTCTCAGGGATACCTGATGCAGCGCATCCACAGCAGCAGTGAGATCCAGAGCAACGTGTCGCTGAGCAACGGTCGCCTGGACCACACGGCCCTCACCAAGTTGATCAGCCACCTGAAGAGCCTGAGCAGAGGCTCGTACCTGTACCTGAAACTGACCCTGGACCTGATCGAGCGAGGGTACCTGGTCCTCAAGAGCTCCAGCTTTAAGGTCAGAGATGTTTTTGGGATTTCAGGATCTGTGTTCGTGGGCGGGGGGGATGGGGGGGTTTCTGTAACCGTGCCGACGTGAACTGTGTGTCTGTGTCGGAGCAGGTCGTTCCCGTCAGCCTGGCTGAGGTTTATCTGCTGCAGCTCAACATGAGGTTTCCCACCCAGTCATCTTTCCAGAGAGTGCTCCCCCTACTGAACATCACTGTGGCATCGCTGCACCCCCTGACGGAGCAGCAGGTGGGGGCCATCATCTTCAATATATATATATATATAACAATTGAATTTACTCACTGGTTTTTCTCGTCATCATTTTTTCCATGACTGCGCCCTAAAAAAAAAAATGTCCTCCTGTTCCTTCAGCTGTTTGAGGTGGTGAACGCAGGAGCTCTGAGCGGAGGAACTCTGCAGTGGGACGAGTTTTCCCAGCGCCTGGAGCAGCTCTCATCTTTCCTCCTGAGGCGCAGCGACGGCAGCTGGATGCTGAGCCACGCCTCCTTCAGGGAGTGGCTGGTTTGGAGGGAGGAGGGGCAGGAAGACCGCTTCCTCTGTGTGGTTCTGGTTCTGGTTCTCAGGGATACCTGATGCAGCGCATCCACAGCAGCAGTGAGATCCAGAGCAACGTGTCGCTGAGCAACGGTCGCCTGGACCACACGGCCCTCACCAAGTTGATCAGCCACCTGAAGAGCCTGAGCAGAGGCTCGTACCTGTACCTGAAACTGACCCTGGACCTGATCGAGCGAGGGTACCTGGTCCTCAAGAGCTCCAGCTTTAAGGTCAGAGATGTTTTTGGGATTTCAGGATCTGTGTTCGTGGGCGGGGGGGATGGGGGGGTTTCTGTAACCGTGCCGACGTGAACTGTGTGTCTGTGTCGGAGCAGGTCGTTCCCGTCAGCCTGGCTGAGGTTTATCTGCTGCAGCTCAACATGAGGTTTCCCACCCAGTCATCTTTCCAGAGAGTGCTCCCCCTACTGAACATCACTGTGGCATCGCTGCACCCCCTGACGGAGCAGCAGGTGGGGGCCATCATCTTCAATATATATATATATATAACAATTGAATTTACTCACTGGTTTTTCTCGTCATCATTTTTTCCATGACTGCGCCCTAAAAAAAAAAATGTCCTCCTGTTCCTTCAGCTGTTTGAGGTGGTGAACGCAGGAGCTCTGAGCGGAGGAACTCTGCAGTGGGACGAGTTTTCCCAGCGCCTGGAGCAGCTCTCATCTTTCCTCCTGAGGCGCAGCGACGGCAGCTGGATGCTGAGCCACGCCTCCTTCAGGGAGTGGCTGGTTTGGAGGGAGGAGGGGCAGGAAGACCGCTTCCTCTGTGACCCCCGCAGTGGGCACACTCTCCTGGCCTTCTGGCTGTGCAGACAGGAAGGGAAGCTGAATCGACAGCAGACCCTGGAGCTGGGACACCACATCCTCAAGGCCCACATCTATAAGGTGGGTTAAAAAAAAAAAATCAAACTCAAACTCAGCTCCGCAAATCAGCGTCTGAAGCTGAATGTGGCTGCATTTGGAAGGAGTTTAACCTCCAGGATATTCAAGGCCTCCAGGATATTCAAGGCCTCCATGCTGATGATGTCATGATGATGTCATTAGGATGCTGCCATTGGAGTACTTTACAGAAGAACTGCAAATACGAAGTGTCTAAAGTTTTAATCTTATCCATGTGTGTATTCTCAGGGTCTGAGTAAGAAGCTCGGGGTTTCCTCCTCAGTTCTGCAGGGGCTGTGGCTGGCCTACAGCACAGAGAACCTCAGTCCTGCTCTGTCGTCGCTGCGTAACCTGTACACTCCTAACATCAAGGTGAACGCACACACCCCACCACACTCTCTTACAGCAGCCCCCCCCCCCCCCCCCCCCCCCCCCCCCCTCCCGTACCTGTCCAGGTGAGTCGGCTGCTGATCATTGGTGGAGCCGACGTAGACCACCGCAGTGATGTCCTCAACAACGCGCCGCTGCTCTGCGTCCACTCCCACCTCGGTCACGGGGATGCGGTGGCGTTGCTGCTCGACCACGGAGCTGAGGTTCGTTCTGTCGCCACGTTTACACCTGACCTGTCTCCGTCTGTACGGAGAGACAACTTCAACCGACCAACTTCCTGTTGACGCGTTTTCTAGGTCGATGCTCAGTCACATGACGGTTTGACTGCGCTGGGCTTCGCTGCTGCGGCTGGACACATGGACCTGGTGGTGACGCTGAGTCAGCACAAAGCTAAGGTACCTAAAGTGTCTAAGTGTTGTAGATATCAGCCGCTAGGGGTCAGTGTTTCTCACCTGTTTCTGTTTGTGAATAATCCAAATGATGGGATTACGACTAACTCACCGTGGTGGTTACAAAGCAGGGATTATATGTGAAAGACCCTGATGCTAACGGTGGATTAGGGATTAAAAACAACAGATGATGTCACATCATGATGTCATCCTTCTGGACCGTCTTCCTGCTCAGGTCGGTCACGTGGACACCTCAGGTCAGTGTGTGTTGGTGCACGCCGCCCAGCGTGGTCACCTCAACGTGTTGGACTTCCTGTTGAAGAACGGAGACTGGAGGTGCACTTCCTGCTGTGGCCAGAAGGGGCCGAGCAAAGGCCAGGCCGTTGAGCAAGCTCTGACTGCAGCAGCCAGCATGGGCCACACAGAGGTCAGAGGTCACACACACACACACATGCAGACAAATCATGTTTTATTTTCACTGTGTGTTTGACAGTCATTGACACATGCAGACAAATCATGTTTTATTTTGACAGTCATTCCGACTGATGAGTGTGTGTGTGTGTGTGTGTGTGTGTAGCTGGTCTTGTATCTACTGGATCTTCCAGAGGACGACGTTGACCGACCTGGGGTCAACGCCCACGACAGCCTATGGGGAGAGACAGGTACTGCAGCAGCATCTGATGCAAATATAAACTTGAAATGAACTTTGATTAAAAAAAAAAATCTAAATAATTAGAGACTTGAAGAAGCCTTCGTCTCAGTGCGTCTGCCTTGACCTGACTTTGACCTGACTGTAGTGATAATTAGATGTTCACCAGTTTGGACTTCCTGTTCGTGATTACAGACGTGTGATGGTTTATTTTACAGCTTCAGGAGCTGAGGTTGATGAACAAAGATTCCTGTGTGTGTGTTTCAGCTCTGACGGCGGCGGCAGGAAGTGGCAGCCTGCCTGTGTGTGAACTGCTCCTGGACCGAGGTGCTGCCGTCGAGCAAGGCAACAGACGGGGTGTGACGCCGCTCTTCAGTGCCGTGAGACGGGGCCACTGGCAGGTACAGACGACACACGCCCAGGGAGAGCCCGGCTAATGATGTCCAAATGTTGAAACTCTGTCTCCCTCTGGTGGCGGCAGGTGGTGGAGCTGCTCCTGAGCCACGGGGTGGACGTGAACATGGTCGACCAGCAGGGTCGGACGGCTCTAATGACAGCAGCCTCAGAGGGACATGTCCCCACGGCCAAACTGCTGCTGGACAACGGTGAGTTCACGACCACGGAGTTAAATAAACCTCAGACAACAACCAGGACATGTCACCAGATGGCGTTGTTTGTTGTTTTCTCCAGGAGCGTCTCTGGACCAGACTGACAGGGAGGGCTTGACAGCACTGAGCTGGGCGTGTCTGAAAAGTCAACTCCCATTGGTCAGAGAGCTGGTGGAGAGAGGGGCCACTACGACGCACGCTGACCGCAGCGGGAGGACGCCGCTGGACCTGGCCGCCTTTCGTGGAGACCCAGAAGTGGTGTGTGGACCACACCCACGTGTCCTTGTGAAAATGTGTTTTGACTAATTACAAATCAACAATAGAACTGATGCTAAGCTAACATGTTATGAGGGTAGAATTTTTTCTTTTGTTTTTGTCACTCCGTGTTGTTGATTTGTGGTCAAACTTGTAAGCTAACATGTTATGAGGGTAGAATAATTGTATTATTTTTCGTCAAGTAAATCCCACCGTACTGACGTAACTTTGAGTCATGCTTTGTGGTTTTTTTTTTAGGTTCAATACCTGGTGGATCACGGAGCTTCAGTGGAACATGTTGATTCCAGTGGGATGCGACCTCTGGACCGAGCCGTCGGCTGCAGGAACACCTCAGCCGTCATCGCTCTTCTCAAGAAGGGAGCAAAGATTGGTAAAAAAAAAAACCATATATATATATATATACGTACATATATGTCTCGTTCCCCTGCTGTGTGTTACTGTAAACAAAAGTGACTTGTAGGACCGACCAATCACAGCCTCCTCTCTGAGGGCTAAGACCCCCTGACTGTTTTTATTTACTCTAACCTTGCTGCAGATGTTTATTACCATAAGTTAATTATTCGATTACTTTACTAACCCTTAAAAAGTTCCCTAACTAACGACCCCTTGTGGCTACACCCCCCCTCACCCCTCCGCCCCCCCGAGGAGTGAACTTTATAAAAGAACTGCTTATTCCCAGGCAGCATGAGGTCATTTTTATTATTTATTTATTTGGTTTTGTTGTTGTGAAACCCCTTGAGGGAGGAAATAAAAGTGCATGACAGCGTTGTTGAAACCAAATGTGTCCTGGAATCGACCTGACGTTTGTTTTTCTGCTGAATTCAAACAGCTGTTTGGAATAAGTTCTACCAAACACACTGTGAGTTTTACTGTGTCATATAAAACAATCTGATACACGTTAACTAACATTTACCTTGTTATTAACTCCCCTTTATTGACAGCAGGGATAAGGTTCAGCGTTCGATTCCCTGCGTTTGTGGCGTTATCAGAACTTTTGGGACTCATTGAAGTGTCACAGAAATACACCTCTGATTGTCACTAAAACCTGCCATAAAGCAGTGATGGAAAATTGCATGTGTTTTTACTCAGCGTTGCAGTTTGTAGAACATGGACGTGTGCCACGTATGCAGATGACACGCCACAGTTCCTTATTTTCTTAAACTCTCCTCGTGTTTGCTTTTTAGCTCCAGGTTGTTGTTTTTTTTTTTCAGCTCAGGCAGTTTTACCCGTCGCTCCAGTTTGTTTTTAATCTGGTCTTCATCTCATCCAGGACCAGCGACCTGGGCCATGGCGACCTCCAAACCCGACATCCTGATGGTTCTACTGAGCAAACTGATCCAGGAGGGAGACAAACTCTACAAGCAGGGCAAGGTGAGAGAAGCCGCTCAGTCCTACCAGTCAGCGCTGCAGAAGTTTCCGGGAGACGAGCTGAAGACCTTCAGGCAGCTGAGGGTTAGCGTGCTGCTCAGCCTGTCGCGCTGCCGCCGCAAGATGAACGTGAGTTTTTAACCCTTGATACAGCGGTAGTCTTGGAGTTCTGCTGCAGTCAACTACACGTCCTACAACACTGTGTTTGAACTTGATGTCTTTATTTTTTTTCCGGTTCAGGATTTCAGCCTGGCGGAGGAGTTTGCTACCAAAGCTCTGGAACTTAAAGCGAAGTCGTACGAGGCCTTCTACGCCCGAGCGCGAGCCAAACGCAGTCGAAGGTAAATGACCCAGAGTCACGATCTGTTGGATCCGTCCCTGGGTCGGCTGGAACCACCAACCTTTCTGTTAACAGCCAAACACGCTAACTGATTGCGCCACAGAGACGTATTATTCACTGATTAGACTTAATTAATAATGAGAGTTGAACCAATGATGTGGTGTTGATCATGGAACCAGAATCTGTTCATCATCAGTTCAGATCCCGCTCGTGTCTTACTCTGGTGAACTCATGAATATTTTCCTCTTTCCTCTGCAGACAATTCCACGCGGCTCTGGAAGACCTGATCGAGGCCAGCCGTCTGTGTCCGTCCAACAGGGAGATCCAACGTTTGCTGTCTCGGGTGAAGGAGGAGTGTCGTCAGGTGTGTCACCCACAGGACTCCGCTGCTCCTCCGGTCCACCAGGGTTTTCAGCCTCATCTGCCCGTGGGTGAGGTCCGGTGCAGGGACTCAGGGTTTCTACAGACTCAGGAGAAGGAGGGTCTCACGGAGGAAGAGGATGAAGACGAGAAGGAAGAGGACACCCCCCCCAACGTCTCCTTTTACCCTTCACCTGGGGCACAGAGCCTGGACCCCTACTGTCAGCCCAGGATGTCGTCCCCCTCTCCTTTATCTCCGACTCACCGCCATCATCATCATCATCACCCGGGCTCCGTCCACCCACCGTCCACTCCTTCCTCCCCGTTTGTTCCTCCCTCGTCGTCGTATCATAACATCACGTCTCCTTCCTCACCCATGCACCACCCGTCCCTCCCCGTGTCGGACAGGATTCCTGCCGTTCAAAAAGTGGGGGTGTGCACCACTACCCCCAGTCACTTCCGGCCCCTCCCCCCGCGGAGCAGAAGCAGGGGCTGCAGCAGCATCACTTCCTGTCTGATCAGGTGTCTTTTCAGAAACAGAACCCTGTTCAAGGCCAGTGGCTCCAGCCGGCCAAAGTCCCGGGCGTCAGAACCAGTCAGCCCAACTTCTCCTTCCACCCCAGTGCGGCCCTGGGGGGTCCATCTTACCCTCAGTTTGTGAATTTGCCCCAGGAACTGGCTGAACTGGGTGAAGGTCTTTGCACCAGTCCCCTCAACGTCAGACGAAACCTGCCGGTCCAGACTGCTCTGAATTCTGGAGCCTCCTATCCACCAGAGGGTGCTGATGATTTGATATGTCAGGCGAGGGCTTTATCTGCCTACGGAAGGGGGGCAGCGGGGGACAACGGGGGAGTCAAACATTTCGTCCCCCCCCCGCAGGTTAGCCGG